AGTACTGTGTCTGGCCATCGAGTGAAACGGTCTACGCAGGTTAAGAGATAAGAGTATCCATCTGAATCTGGTAAAGGTTCTATCAAATACAGATGAACATGGTCGAAACGAGCGTCGGGAGTTTCGAAAGAGGCTGAGGGACATTTATTGTGTCTGATAACCTTAAATTTCTGGCAGCTCAAACAAGGAGCGTGCCCACTCCCTCACGTCTTCATTTATACCAGGCCAGCTAAATGGTTCTGCTATGAGCTTGATGGTTGCACGAACACCTGAATGAGAACCCAAGCACCCAATTTTGGGGAAAATTTGGCACATTTTTGGGGAAATTTCGGGGAAGCCGCTATAGTAAATTTGGGGGAAATTTTGAGGAAATGGCACAAAAACCATAAAATTTCCACGGAATTCCCAAAAATTTTCCCCAAAGTTACCCAAACGTTGGTGAAGGTCATTCGACTTCGGGAGTTCCCCCAAAATTGGAAGCTCGGGAAAGTTTGTACAACATATTGAAGACTTTGTGTTGATAATGTTTCGGTACGATTGAGTGATCCCTACATGTAGATGTGTCAGGAAGTAAGGTTTCCTTACCTGTTCCCATCTGTCTGATACGTAACTTGTAGACGATAACTCGTGCTGAAGATCAGTGTCTTCTTTTCGAAGCTAGGCAAGTTTAAGAAGGTCGATTCTTGGGAAACTGTTCAAGGAAGCTATGCGAAACTAGGCGTCTGCAACTACATTGTTTGCTACAAAAATGTGCTGAATATCTGAAGTAAACTGCTAAATGTAAACCAGTTGTTGAGACTCACGTGATGAATACTTGCCTGAAGAGGAACTCAAAGAGAAAGTAAGCGGTTTAAGATCAGTGATAATGGTGAATTCTCGGCCTTCACTGGAGTTTTGAAAATGCCGTACAGCACAATACATAGCTAAGAGTTTCCTACCGAATGTGCTGTACCTCGATTCAGAGTCTAACAACCGTCTAGAGAAAACGTCAATGGTTGCCAGAATTGGTTAACCCATTGTTGTTAGACTACTCCGATTGCTGAGTCGGATGAGTCTACTGCGATACTAATGGGTGCTTCAGTGTCTTGATGTGCAAGAATTGTTGCTTTAGCGATAAGCTCCTTAACTGTGGAGAACACTTTTCGCTCGGTGTCGTCCAGATTGATGGATTTTGCATTTCCACGAAGGTGGTCGGTAAGAGGTTTCATAGGTGATGCACATTTTGGTATGAACCGTCCATAGAAACTTACTAGGCCGTTAAACGTGCGTAATTGCTTGATGGTGGTGGGTTCTGGGTAATCCAGAATGGCCGCCACTTTGGTTCTAAGGGGTCGATTGCCTTGCGCATCGATAGTATGTCCTAGGAAGTCTAAGGAGTCAGTTCTGATTCGGCATTTCTGAGTGTTTACGGTAATGCCATGTTTTTATAGTCGTTCGAAAGCAAGACCCAGACGCTGGAGATGTGATTCTCTGTCCGGACTTGCGATTAGGCAGTTGTCAACATACGCATGTACGAAGTTGAAACCTCGAAAAACGTCGTCTATGAATCTTTGGAATGTTTGAGCAGCGTTTCTTAAACCGAAAGGCATTCGCAAGAATTCATAGGGTCCGAAGGGAGTAATGATGGCGGTTTTCGGTATGTCGTCTGTGGCCATGTGGATTTGGTCATACGCTTTAACCAAGTCCATTTTCTAAAAGACAGTTGTACCTTTCAAGTTAGCTGTCAAATCGTGAATGTGAAGCAAAGGGTAACGATCGGGAATGGTTTTCGCATTCAGTCGCCGATAGTCACCAGTTGGACGCCAATCGTTGCTGTTCTTTTAAGGGATCATGTGCAACAGAGATGTCCATGGGCTGTTTGACTGTCGCATGATTCCAAAGTCTATCATGTGGTCGAATTGGTTTTCGGCCAACCTTAGCTTTTTGGGGGCCAGTCGGCGTGCTTTAGATAAAACAGATGATCCTGTAGTCTTGATGTTATGTGTAACATTGCTGGTTACACATAGCAATTTTGGTCGCAATTGGTATATCTCAGAATACTTATCGAGTGGTGGTTGATAGAACGGGTCTATCGTGTCCTTAATTGTGACTGGAGATAATCTGCAACCGAAGAAAGAAGTTACGCAAACAGATATATTAGTGTTTCCGTCTACTAGCCTCCGTTTACGCGTATCGATGATTAGATTATGGTGTTGTAGGAGGTCTATACCAATGATAGGCAAAAAACATCTGCGACAACAAAAATCCAGTGAATGAGTTTGCGTAAACTCATGTTAAGGTAACCGTATCTTTTACCATATGTGGCGATAAGCTTTCCGTTTGCCGCCTGTAGGTTTAAAACCAATTCGTGAGGCACGTCGTTAGAATTCGCCGGAATAACGCTAACTTCTGCGCCAGTATCGACGAGGTAGCGAACTCTCGCTATCGCATCTGTGACGTATAACAGACGGCTATGTTCGTCGGCTACGGTTGCCGTTAACGCGTGCCAGTTTGGAAGTTTCTCGAATTGTTTTTCGTGTCGGTCAATTTTGAGTTGGGAAAATTGCAGTGTTTTCTGCAATCTCTGGGAGACTTTCCATACTGGTTGTGATACCAGAACCAGTCGGGGCTATCCGTCTGCCGCGGTCTAGGTACAGATTGCCTACGTGTAGTGCTTCTTCGCGGGGTGTGTGACCGTTTACGGTTATTGTGAAATCTGAGATAACGTGTCAGCGAATGACGTAGTTCCGTAATGTTATTCAAGGCCGTTTAGGGTTTTTCTTTAACTGAAAAAACCTCGACATTAGATTTCGTGACTTCGAGGATGCAGTCGGCAGATGCATTCAGCTCGTCTGAGGTTTTATTTTGAAACGAGACCAGCACAGCTTGCACCCCTTGAGTAAGTTTGGATGCTGTCTGGCCAGAAGGGCATTAGTTGGAACGAAGTTGGGGACATAGTCTTTAACTTAAGTACCTTGGGTATCTGTTCAGGCATAATGAAATATCAAGTACGAGAGTGAAGGAGTTAAAAATATATGAATATGCAGAAACTCGAAAAAGACATCATAATATATAAAAAATTAAAAGAAGGCAATGATATATAAAATCCCAAAAGGGACATACTCACAGTTTGCAATTTGGTGTACAAGAACACATCGGGCTCACCAATGAAGATGCCACAAATATTTGAGTTTGACAACGCTTTAACCAGTAACACCTTCAAATATAAATCGTACTCACCAAGCGAAATCAAAAGACAGAGGCGAGGAGGTTTGAAGATATATTTGATATGCTATCAATATATCGAGGATCGTCTGATCTAATCTGGCTAGCGATTGCAATATATGTTGAGCACAGCGTTCCCACTTGTGATCTGGTGCGGATCGATGACTGAGCGCTTTCAGCTAGATGAGCTCATCAAAACTAATGTGGTCAGCACCCAATGTCGAAGATAGTTACAATATGTCTGTGCCTACTTAATCTTTTTGGTCACCTCTAATGAACGTCCTTTAATACTAGTCAAGTAAACTGTCTGATAACATGTATCGTGGTTCATTATGTAGATAAACCGGCTCTGGCCTATCATTACCTACTGGGTCTGTGTTTCCCCGTTTTTGTACCATTAAATATTTTGATTTTGTAGCGACAAATTTGTATGGACCTATGAATGGAAGAATGAGTGGAGCATCTACTTTGTCACACCTTAACCAGGCGTGAGTGCAAATGCCTAGGTTCTTGGGTACACATGTCGATCGCGACTGTTAATGAGTACTGATTGGTTAAAGTCTGGACACATAGTCCCTTAGTTGGTTCACTTAACCTTATAAGTCAAGCTCTTTATTTTACAAGGGTAGGTAAACTCACCTGGTACTCTTAAAGTCGTCCTTAAAACTAGTTCTGCTGCTAAGCACTGTGAATCGGTCTCGACAGCTGTTCAGCATTGTGTGAGAAAGGTGGCTGTAATGGTGTCCAATAAACCTCTCTCTGAGAAAGATTTCAGTAGATCCAGCCCAACTGGTAAATAGTATTTGGTAGTGAAGCGTAGGCAAAAATGCTCGTTTCTACGTAAGGATCTTTATGGAGATAATGTATAGTGATTACGGACTGGGATGGGAAGGGTACTGGAATAAGCTGGCGCACAAAGTTGATCTATTTGCCTGAAGAATACTGCAGACGTTTCTATAACATACAATGCAAATGCTCTTGATGACAAAATTTGGAAATTATCCATGGATATTATAATTATAAAAAGGTATCAAATGAAAATTATGCTAGAGACGACAATGTTCCTAATATTCGGATTGACCGCCTTATGCCCTTATTGATAAAGGGCTATTTATAAATATTCAAAAAGCAGTGAAGCTAAGTGATTACGACTGATTCAAGCGGGTTATGAGTACGCAAGACACTGAATGGTTAAAAAATTTCAGACCTGTGCGAAACACAAACACCCTCTGTAGTGTTTATCCTTTTTACGTTTCCAAGAGATAAAACAGAAAAAACACCTAAGTAACCCAAGGACAACAAAATTTGGAGCTATGTGCCAAGAGAAATGTGGATTTTACCCTAACCATAAACATTCGTAAAGGTCTTTCCTGATAAGTTTTGACTTCGCTTATGATAGTACATTCAGAAACTGAAGACACAACACAACAGAACGGATTGTAGATATACTACTTTATAAGAGTAGTCAAATGTTGGAATTCGCTGCCGGCTGAGTTAGTCCAAGCGACTTCTCAGGAGTCTTTTAAGAGGAAACTTAAGATATTCCTAAGGCTCAGGACAGCATTTTACTGTGACTCAACAAATTTTATCTTATTCCTATTTTATCGTCAATATGCTTAGGTTTCCACCTGAAGGCATCATTGATTCACTGCTACTATGTGCGGAAGCCAAAGCTTCTGTTATTCCGTTCAGAGCCATTTGAGCCATTGAGATGACCGTAAGATTGACCTCTCAAAGATACTCCCCAATCCAAACATATTGTACACCTGTCAGTTAATTCAGCTTTCTAGAGTGTCCTTGAACCTTCCGCGTTTTTCGGTACACACCTCTTAGTAATACTTTCTTCGGATCTCTTACATAATGGAACGTCTTCTCCGTCTTGGTGCTGACGGACTAGCCGCCCTAGGGCAGTCAAATGCCCAGCCAACAGATGGTCCTGTACCAGATACTGCTGAACAGGTGTATATTAGTAGTCTTGCACTACTGAAAATGCTAAAACATGGAAGAGCTGGAGTCCCAATGGAGGTTATGGGATTAATGTTAGGTGAATTTGTTGATGACTATACTGTGACGGTTGTGGATGTGTTTGCTATGCCCCAGTCTGGCACAGGTGTGAGCGTTGAGGCAGTAGACCCTGTATTTCAGGCTAAAATGTTGGATATGCTTAGACAAACTGGACGGTATTTGGACTTTTAACATATTTTTACTTTTTAAGTCCAGAAATGGTTGTCGGATGGTATCACTCACATCCTGGATTTGGTTGCTGGTTATCTGGTGTAGATATGAATACACAGCAAAGTTTTGAAGCGCTTTCGGACCGTGCGGTAGCTGTAGTTGTTGATCCAATACAGAGTGTGAAAGGCAAAGTACTGATTTTTCATAACTACAAATCATTCATAGGTTGTCATCGATGCTTTCCGCTTGATCAACCCGAACCTTGTTATTGCTAATCAAGAGCCTAGACAGACAACATCTAATGTTGGTCATCTTAGCAAGCCAACAATTCAAGCGCTTATTCACGGTCTTAACAGACATTATTACTCTTTACCTATTAATTACCGTAAGAATAAGTGGGAAATTAAGGTGAGCTTTATATATCTAACTATTCTCATCGAAATAAGATGTTGATGAATCTGAACAAGCGTACGTGGAGAGATGGACTAACCTTGGAAGATTATAATACTCACTGTACAGCTAATCACAAAACTCTCCAAACTATGCTTGATCTAGTCAAGTCATATCATAAAGTTAGTTTTTTTGTGTGTTACGCATTTTGTTTAGTCTCTTGAAGATGAGGAAAAGATGACTCCAGAACAATTAGCCATCAAAAATGTTGGGAAAATGGTATGTTATTAACGGTATTACTTATCCTCCCACTTATTAGGATCCAAAGCGACATCTTGGAGAGCACGTAGATGAGTTAATGACATCCAACATCACTCAGTCCTTAGGAGCAATGTTGCATTCAGTTGTTTTCACGTAAACAATTACCAAATAAATTCGTTTTACAAAACATCGAGTTCTATTCAAATGTTACTGTGAAGTTATGTTTACTGAAGTGTTTTTACTGTCTTTAGGAAACATGAGTTCTGATGCATTAACCGAAGAAGAGCGTTCACTCATTGAAGCTAAACGAAGAAAAGCACTTGAGTCCCGTAACCGAAATATAGCAGGCGGACCTGTTAGTTCAGTACCTGCAGTTCATAAACAGAATGTGGTTGCTAAGCAGCCTTTATGTTATCAAGGTGGTCATGGTAGTACGCAAGCTGGAAAGGTAGACGATTTTGTACAGATGGCTAGAAGTTGGGTGAATTCTGGGTAAGTTATTTAGGTCTTATCACAACGTCTTTCCATCTTGATAGGGTGCGAAGGTATCTTTAAGTTGGACGTTATTAAGTAGCGGTTTCTGTGTACTAATGTTCTAACTATATAGTCGCTCAGATCTTGTTAAAATGCAGCCACTCAATTCTAGGTATTGTAGGATTTTGCATTGACTAACTTAGCCGTTGAGATTCTGATAGGATTTTCGCTTAAACGTCAGTAACCTAAATGCCAACCATGCTCTGATGTTCTTATGGTACTCAGACACGTTTTTGGGATCTTGATAGCAATTTAAAAGTGGTCGGTAAAGTTCTTCGTTTATTTTTAAGGGGAGATTAGGTTGTAAGTTTGTCCGTATTCTCGGAATGAACTAAGGTTAACATGTTTGTGTAGCATATATAGAAAGTAAAACTAAAGGACAAATAACATGTTTCACTGGATTCGGCTGTTTGTAGTAAATTTATTTTGGCTGATGGAATTGCCTAAGCGTTTTTTCCTATTGTGTATAAGGTCGTTTGAGTGATTTATAGTTGTCAAATTGGTTGTAAATCCCTCTCAAGAATTGGTTGCTTCGCAACCCAATGACCATATATATATATATTCACTAACTGGTCCAGATTACATGTATGTAGAAGGTTCAAATGCCTCATAAATACTAAAACCATTGGATTCTATGAGTTTTAACCTGCAGTTAATCACATAGTTAAGGTATCAAAACGCCTGGGAATCAACTCCATTGTTTGCGAGTTATTCGTGTGAAACTACAATTCATTCTAGAAGGTGCATTATGACAAAGTATATATTTTAAAGACTGGGAGTTGAGAACCTGGGCAAATTAATAAATTTTAAGCAAAGATGGATGCTGTCTAGCAGTGGAGTCTAGGACGTGTAATCCGCGCAGGATGCACATTATGGCAATAAGAGATTGATCGATTCCAATCCTAAACGTCAATGGGGTGATTCAAACAACCAATACAAAAATGGATCAAATAAATAATTTTTTGATATGAACGTCGACAAAAACTTCAAGCAAATTCCTTGATATATATCCTGATTAATTGTTATTACTTGCTTAACTTGTTTGTCAGGTACGTATTCATTTGCTTGGCTTTGAGCCATACTCGAATGCTTAAACCATTAAGCCACCTCTTGAGCTGTAAGGTTGCATCACTTCTGTCATTCAGATTAAATATTTGTCAGTTAACATAATTAGGCTATGAACGTATCAATTAAAAAATAAATATATTGGTTAAACATCAGTGAATTTCGAATTTCTTTGTACTTGCTAGTCAATAATTAAGTATTTTTACACAATCTATCACAGTAAACCAACTGTGAAGACAACTGAAAATTTAGTCAAGCAACAAACTTCTCAAGTCAAACCGAATTTCCCACCTAAGTCCAGTACAAATTCTTTTCCTTCGAGAACTCAGTCTACTCCTAATGATGCATTCAGACCGAAGACCAGCTTAGTTAATGTACTGTGTACACTGTGCTCTCCCAATAGATTTGAAGTGCATGCCAGATATCATGTTGGATTAACACAGCTATTCAAGTCTATGGATTCTAAACAGTATGGTAAGTTGTTATCCTTTAGTTCATATTGTATTGTCTTGTCGTGCTAACAGCATTAACACAAGATATGATGTAATGTTGTTGGTAACGTGTTGAGTCAAATGTGTTTTCATATTTATGAGAAATGGTTTCCGATTTGTATCTGATTGGATTGAATGTTATCAAGTGAGCGTAAAATGTCTGAGTTCTGATCGCAGCAAGCATAGTATTTTGTGAATTAATTGTCATCTCATCAAATTTGTTTGAGGGCTGTGATACTGACCGGGTACCCAAACCGAAGCAGGTAGTTTTCTTAGGGGACCACACCCCGAGCCTTTGACCTAAAGGTCTGACCCACAAGTCAGTGGAGCATCGTGAGGAGATGCAGTTCCATGGTGGCTGGTGAATAACAACTGGTTCATACGCCATTTTCTCCCTCAGGATACTGGGGCCCATGTGCACCATTGATTTGGAATCAGGGTCTCCCAACTCCCCTAGGTGGACTCGCCGTGTCAAGCGACCCGTTTAAAGAGCTGGACATTCGCTTTTCATCCTCTCAATTTCGTAAACCACACCGCCAAGAGAAGGTAGTGAAGACTTCCCTAGCAGAGGCTGTGTACGCTAAGCCGTGTGAGAGCATTTCGAGAGGGAGGGCCCTTCCCACTCTCTGCCATACCAGGGCATTTAGGGGCGCATATGTATTTGGTGCCCTCCTGTACCAATATTTATGTGTTCAAATAAATAAATAAATGATTGGGTTTATGTCAATCAGAATTCAGTCGTGTGCAGTCAGGTCACTCCCAGTGAGGATGAAACATAATTTGGGTCTGACTCGTATTCTTTAACACTATTACGTTGTTACTGACTGACTGATTTTATCCCATATAATTAAATTAGACGACAATGTAACCTGGTCCTGAAGGCATATTTGTCCTGTAATATTTTGAAATGTCGCCGTTTCAATACCTACAGTACTGTTATAGGGGACTAAGACCCTCTCATCAGCCAAGAAAGTTAACTTAATTATACGGTGAAACAGTAATAATTGCTGTAAGTGAACATGTGTCTTGTTATTGGGAAATAGATTGGGTTATGGCATATTCCGTGGAGGACTGTGTTGGGGCACGCTAATTGGCTGTTTCTTAACCAATCAGTGTTAGCGGATACTTGGAGAAGACTCTAGAATCTTTTTATTTAAAAATTATAAATTTACTGACGTTTTTCTTATTGTGATTCCTACCTCTATTCGACCTTGTTATTTGGAATAGAATTATGTTCCTATTCAGCCATATTCTGATTTAGGTACTTGTCAAGTGATGTAGTGTCCAAGAATACTAAGCGATGAGAGTAGTCGGGTCGTAACAAGAGAAATTATCACATGTCTTAGGTTCTTTCTAAAAGCTTCTGACATTAAATTGATGAAATTGCACACGTAGGTTCACCTACAATGTTTAAAGTTCTTACTTTCTTGATGTTCGTGGTTAAGTCTTTATTGTTTAGTAAGCTATTAAATAGAAAGCTCTTCTACATCTAGTCTTGAACTATTTATTCCAGAAGATATTTCGAAATTTAGAAGATAAAGAATAAATACACGTTCTCTAATGAGATCTGTCTTAAACTAAGTCATGATTAAAAACCATTTCTGAAACCACTTTTAGGAAGTCTACGTCTTCCGTTATAACTTCAGTTGACGACTGATTCTGTGGTTAATATAATGAATCTGGGGTTTCATAGAATGTTTTATATACTATAGAAACTCCTGGATTTTTATGAAGCTTATTCTTGTAGCCATAAATTGAAGATCATTTCATACAAATCCCACTATCCAACAATCAGCAAGCTCACGTAATCCAACATCACAAACGAATCAATATCTCTGACTGTAATGTTTAACAAAATAGGTTCATATCTCTGACGAATAATAGTTGTCGTGATCCAATGTATTGAATCCATTTAATGACTGCCAAAAGTGGCAAATGTACGTTTCTAGGTATTTGTTTGGAAATTTCATCTAAACATTTAATATCAAGTGAAATATTTCCTTATTAATACCTCGAACTAGGATATTGTCTCGATTATCGCCTGAATACCATTTCATATTAAATTTACACACTAATCAAATTTAATTCTGAAAAACAAAGTGCTGTCTTATCATAATTCTTCTGTCAAATTATTTTTTTTTGTGTGTATAGATTCTCAGACAAGGAGATGGTCATTTGACTTATCAGAATATAATGAATTCGGTAAAAATGTGAAATTTTCTTTATAAATGTATCTTTTATACAGTGAAAAAGGTCAATGATATTGATGAATTACACTTGGAAGAACTTCCATATGCTGTTCTTAAAGTAGGTTTTTATAAATATTATATATCGTTCAATGTTAGTAGTTTTTCTAAGTGCAAAGCTAACCAGTAAGATGATTTTATTTTGTGTATTTCTGGTTCAGTGGTTACAGAGTTGAACTGTCAACTAGTAGGTCGCAGATTCAAACCCCGATGGGCCAACTTCGTTTTGAGTTACTAGGTAATATCATTGCCTTACATGCCTCGAAACCAAGCATTCAAATATGTATCTGGTACATAAATTATTAAAGTACACTCCAGTTTGGTTAGTGAACAATAGTAGAATCTAGAATTCCTGTTTTATCTCATTGTCGATGTTCACACTGAAACCCAAACCTGATATCTATGGTTTCAAGCATTAAAGCGTTACTCACTAGGTTATAGAATCATTGTTTCCATCAACTTGTTCAGTTGACATGATAATTACCAATAACTTTAGAAATATTCATTTTTCGTTTGTTGATACTCAGAACTGAACGTGAAGAGTCTCTTTTAGCGTATTAGCTCACTGAATAGATATTGTTATATCCTAGTGAAGATTAAATTACGGGTAACTTCTGAGAACTATTAGTGGACTAATATTATTTATATATTCTTATTGTACAACTATTCGGTAATTATATATATATATATATATATATATATATATATATATATATATATATATATATATATATATATATATATATATATATATATATACATATATATATATATTCCTCTTATTATAAGCATTTTGACTTATAGACTATCATTATACGATT